TTACTAACATTTAGTAGATGGAGTATGTGACGTTAAAGTGATTATGTGCCTTGCCTAAAGTTACAAAGCTAGTAAATAGAGAGGAGTGATTCAAAAAAATGTCCACTTAGTTTTTTTTTTTTCCTTTTTGTCTTTTTTCATGAACGGTAACGGGATCGCAACCCTCAGTATCGTGCCCGCACCGTGCTCAACCAGTGAGCAGACCGGTCTCTATATGGGATCCAAACCCTCGGCGGGAGTGCTGCCATGCTCGCAAGTGCCACACTCTACCGAGTGCGCCACCGGGCCGGCCCTAGTTTTAAAACCTGGCTGTGTAGTCTATACTGTTTCCTGTATCTTCCATTGCATTTTGTTTACATTAGTAATATTATTAATATTAGTACATATGAGTTAAATCTTTTGTTGGTGACAGCTGCTAATATATTTTGTTTGCAACTTGAACCTGTGAATGCAAACAGGATCACATTGAAATTAATACCTGTGTTTTATCAATCCCTGAGTCCTTAGTCTAAAATGTCCACAAATGCTTTGTTCCAAGGCAGCAATGCTATTACTACTTCTATTGTTCTTTTAATTTACATACATCCACGGCCAAAATCTTCCAGGGAATTTCATGTCACAACCCTTTCGCTGATGGTAAGAATTTCAGATGAGCCTTCTCTCCTTACCTGGACGTGCTGTTCCCTGATGATGTTCAACCTCTGTACCTGAGACTTGCTTGATGCTCTAGAATACGTTTTTCCTTATGGTGAATGATCCCTGTGAAATTTTCTGCAGTCAGATTTCTAGCTCCAACCTGACATTCTAGCTGCACAGCTCTGTTCTCACATCCTCAACTCTATCAGCTCCTTAGTTCTATCTCTGTGTCTCTAAATCCTAGTGATGGGAAGAAATGAATCTTTTTATTGCTAGGAGCATCTTTGCAAATCTAAGGATTTAAATGTTCATGTCTGGGAAGGGGATTTCTGTAAAGTCCAAGTCCTCAAAATCATTCAAGTCAGTGGATATATGGATTAAATGAGAGACAGAATAATTCCTCTTGTAAATACAACCATCTAAAACTAGACTCTTGCCCAACCATGATACCCAACATACTCTATTGCAAACATTAACTATTTTCATTTTGCTTATGACCAAATTTGTTCTGTCTTTAACCTCATATATTCATTAATGGGATATAAGTGTATCCAAAACTAATTACCAGACTGATATTTAAAAAAATTTAACAGGGATTATTTGGCTTATTATAACTATGTAATCTATCTTCTAAGGAGAATATATCAATACTTTAGTTTATTTTAAAAGAAAAAAATACACCTAGAAACTTTCTATCTAATTTGAAAGATAAAAGCAAAAAACAAAAAACCAAAAAAA